TCCATCCCATCAACTCTCCATGCCCTCACGCTGGACCTCTTCCAACTGTCCAGTCTGCTCAAGTGTCAGTGTGCCTGGGACCCCCAGCGGGCTGTCAGAAGAGAGGCTGCAGAGCCCCAAGCCCAGGTTCGAATCCATTGGCTGTAGAGGGAGGGCCATGTTTGTATGATTCGAACAATTTCCCAGGGGAGGTTGACGCTGCCGGTCGACAAGTCACACTTTCAGAGCCGTGGGACTACCATGACTCAATTTACCTCCACACCCTTCAAATGCCATCAGTCGCGGAACACTATATGACGTAAGCATCCGATTTAAGCAAATGGTTACCATCCTTTCATATTAAAGGTTTCCACAAAAGAAGAGAAAAAAAGAAGATCTTATTAAGTTATAGGTATAAGGCTTAACGCCTGATTTTAGTAAGCCACCTGACTCACATTACTCCTGGGCCAGTGAGCAAACGCTTATTTCCACAGATGCACTGATACATGACTTTCTCCCATATTACATTTTATATTTCTTTTTTTATCTGTACTGTTTTCATGATAGCAGCCTGATGCATGGTAGAAATTGTTAAAAATGTCTTAACCTATATTTGTATTTGAAATTGTTAAAATGCCATATTTAATATTCCAAGAGGGCTCAATGACTTTAGACTGAATTGATAATTATGGACTAAGTTCATAACATCCCTGTTGTCACTACGTAAACAACTCAATGCAAACATATTTAAAACAATTACAACTGCTCATAATAATACCATCAAGGAACTATGAATTTGCCATTTGCCTGTTTTAGTATTAGGTTTAACAGCTGGGCCATTTACCATGGATCTGAAAGACACGACAGCCCTGGCCAGAGAGCTCTGCTGGACAGAGTGTCATCCTGATGCGCTGAGGTTGCGGGTTTGATCCCCAGTCAGGGCACATACAAGAATCAACCAATGAACGCATGATGAGTAAGTGGAACAACAAGTCAATGTTTCTCTCTCTCCCTTCCTCTCTAAAATCAATAAATGAAAATATTTTTAAATAATTAATAAAGACATAATACACATCAACAGAATAAAATACACCTAAGCTTTTTATGTTTCATGTTCCAATTTGTTTAAATTTTTTAAAAAACCTCCATATTTTATTTTCATTTTCTATAAACAATTTCTTTTCACGGAAACTGCCTCTTTCTATGCTGGCAACTTCCAATAAACTGCAGAATGGTAAGAACTACATTTTTAAATGTATATTCATATCAAAGAGATATTTATAAGATTTTTCTATGCCATTGCTCCTTTGCCCTTCCTCAATACACACTTTAGAATTACAATGAATTCCTGAAATCCTGAAGGAACAACCCTCTTATACTAGGCTTTAAAATACTTTTCTAAACAACAAACCTTAAAATTAGAAACAAAAAAAAAATTAGGAATAAGTATTTGTGAGAGGACATCATACTGGTAAATCCAAGATAAAATAACACAGGAAAGCAAGCTGAGAGTTAAAAATGGTATGATAATTTCCTTACGTATAATAATTCACATATAGATAACATAACATTAACACAAAGAATAAAAGCTCCTGGGGATAGGGATTTTTATCTTTTGGTTTATTGATGTGTCCCCTGTCTCCAGATTGTATAGCACAGATTAGAAGTCCAGAATGTTTGCTGACTAAATGAAAGATTGGATAAATGCATGAAAATCAACCATGGTCCCCAAGTCATACAAAATACAGCTGTGATCCTGTGTGTACTCAGCACCAACAATCTGGAATGTGGAAATGTTTCAGGTCCCAGTACAACACGCTAGATTCTCAATATAAAAGTGAAAAATATAAAGTCTTCACGTTCCAATCTCCACCAACTGGCACGGAAAAGCCAGATATATATAGATCTGGTACAATGGGATAAATGGGGAAAAAAAGAGTTATATATAAGTATTACCAGGCCACAGACTGGTTGAAAAAGCTCCAAATAAATGCTAACATTTGAGCACTATCTAAAAGGATGAGGGAGAGGACAAAGGAGCAAAGGCACAAAAACGTCAAAGTTTACAGCACTTTTGAAGAACAGTAAGCTTTGGATTTCAAAGTTTTCCTTGTAACCTGTAGCAAGAAATACATACATAGTCTACTTAACTGAAACAAGTTTTGTGAAGTAATACTTGTCTTTGTTTTATGAATTATATATTTTCTATTCTTTTTTTTTTTTTAAACGCTGATAAAGACGTACTAAATCAAGTTCAAAGCCCATTTGTTTGAAAACATGGGGTTTGGGCATTGACTAGAAGTGGCGAGCAGACCACCAAAGTGCCAACAGAGAGCTCTTTGCCAGGACAGCTCTGACTTTCCTCCCACAAGGGGGATTTGCCGCTGAGCTGCAATGCTCAGACAAGGGCTATGACCTAGGTCCCTTTCCTACTTAAAACAATTCAGTGCAGCAGAAAAGATGAGTGAAGAAGTCTCTCCCTATATTAAGCCAAAGTGCAGGAAGGGAACAAGCCATAATAGCTAGGGTATAATATTTAGGGCTTACCATTATTCTATCTGAAAAGGTTAGGACTGTTTGCAAATGAAACATCCATCTAGGAGCACCTGTATGTGGATTTAGAGTTTACCCGAGTCAAACTGGCACACTAAACCACAAAAAGCCAAAGCCTTCTCTCCTTCCCCTGTAACAGCTGAATGGTTGCCATAGTCTTCCTGGAGGACTCCTGGGCACTTTCTACCTGCCGGGGCCTTGAAGGTTTTCTTTTACAGAAAACAAACTAGTAAACACATTCAGGTAATAGTAAAGCTAAATAAACAATATCTTGGATTAGAAAACAGTATTTAAAGGAGCCGAGGAAGGAGTTTCTTAGGACGTTAATCTTTAAGTTGAGAACTTATGGATGAGAAGGAGCCGCTTAAGTGAGGTGCTAGGGAGACAAAACAATGTCCCAGGACCTGGGAGAGTGTAAATGAAGACCTGAGACACGTGAGACTTGGCTGTTAGGCAAGGCCAGTCTATGTTCAGCCCAGGGAGCAGCTGGGAAAATAGCATAAGATGAGACGGGAAGTTACTTGAAGCTTCAAGACTGTTTCAATAACGGGAATGGGAAGTTACGGAAGAATGGCATGGTTCGGTTTTGGATTTCTACAAGTTCATTCTCGTAACTGTCTGGAAAATTGACTAGACAGGGGTATGACTAGAAGCAAAGATGTTAGGCTTGGGTGTTGGCAGTGGAGAAGGAGAAAAGATGACTCAGGTATATGGGAGGAAGAACCAACAAAACCTACAATCAGAATTTTCTAAAAAGAGACCATGAGTAAGTGAATTGCAAATTGGGTCGAGGAGTGACTAGATTTAAAAGGGAAGGAAAAGATTTTGAGGAAGGAAACAATGGGAGAAGAACAGACTAAGGAACGGCCTAGAAGGGATATATTAAAGCGGTCATGTTTGCAGATGGAACCCTGCACCCTGCTCTGAGCCGCCATCTTCCTAAAACAAGGTATTAACCCAGGCAGAAAGAAAGAGGAGCTGCTCTCAAGGGTTTTAACCTTAAATGGTTAAGCCCAGACCACTGGGGAAAAAAATATAATTTACCCAATGAAAACAATGAAGCAAAATTTAACTATGGTCATTTTTGTGAAAAACAGCGGTCCTCACTCTGGCTGCACGTTCAAATCCCGGGAAGCTTTAAAAACCTATATGCCTCCTCCCCCTTCTACCAGAGTGCTTCTGATTTAATTAGTTTCAGGTGAGACATAGGCACAGGTAATTTTTTTTAACTCCACAAAGGCTTGTAATGAGCAGCCAGAGGTGAGCCGCCTTAGAAGCACAGCTGAGGATGTCCAGTCAATAACCCTATTCCATTAAATGACAGATTAAGGATGAGAAACGAGTGAAGGAACTTTTCCCCCAAATAATGAATACAGGCCCATTGGTTAAACACACATGGTTCCTGACTACAACAGTCAATTTTCTTCTATGTGATTTTTTTTAGCAGCTAAAACTGTTATTCTCGCCTTCTTAAGAACAGACACTAAGACATCACACATATTTAAAAATATATTTTACTTCTATAATTAACAACAAAGATGCCAGAGATTAACAGCTGATGGTGACTGAAAGAAAAAGGGAAGAGGAAACGGAGAGTCCCAATCTTGCCCAGACACAGGAAAAACTAGGGAGTGGAAGCAGTCACAAGGGACGAAGGAGCCCGTTATTCCTGGGGAGAGGGTGGGTGCACTTGGCGACCAGGCTACAGCTGGCAATGGGTTTCAATGCACACCGCCGCTGGCCCGTCCCAGATTTAACTCTTGAATGAACCACAGAATTAAGCGGGCAGGAGTAAGCGCCAAGGAACTATTCTCCCGAAAAAGACTCCAAAAAACACAATTCTTGCACAGCAATAGATTCCTTGTTGCTGGTGGGTGAATGGGTCATTGAAAACAGAAGTCACTGTATCACCTGCCCTAATCATTAATTTGCGCTCTCCTTGGAATCAGAACCAGGGGTTAACCTTGTTAGGTTTTTGTTTTGTTCCACTTACACCTGCTCTGCACCTTAATTCCACACCGCCCCCCCCCCCGCCCCGCAAAAGAGAAAGAAACCAAAAACGTGTGATGCAATTACTAATTCTCACACCTGGAGACCTTTAATTAAGAGTTCAACTGCCCAGGTGACGGTGCTAAGGGGGGGAAAGGGGGCCGCCCAGATGATTAAACGTGGGTTTCGAGTGGGCGTGTCCATTCAGGAAGGGAGTGAAAGCGAGAGATTTGAGGGCTAAGAAAGATAGGGAAACGTTAAGAAGCACAGACCGTGGGTCCGTTAGGGGCTAAAGGGATTCCGAGACACCAAAAGCAGGGAAGGATGGAGGGGAGCTCGGAGGCAGCCCGCGAACACGGCCGGGGAAACCGCAGGAAGCGGGAGGCGTGAACGCGCACTACAAGTCCCAGAAGACCCCGCTTCCTGGCGCTCGCCCCGCGCCGCGCAACGCCTGCCGGGAGTCGGCCGGAGCCGCCAAGATGTCGCAGCCCAAGAGGAGAAAGCTTGAGTCGGGGGGCGGCGGCGAAGGAGGGGAGGGAACTGAGGAGGAAGATGGCGGACAGCCGGAGGCGGCCCTGCTGCGACCCCGGAGGACTAGGCGGGAGCGGGACCAGCTGTACTACGAGTGCTACTCGGACATCTCGGTGCACGAGGAGATGATTGCGGACCGCGTCCGCACGGATGCCTACCGCCTGGGCATCCTGCGGAACTGGGCAGCGCTGCGGGACAAGACGGTGCTGGACGTGGGCGCGGGCACCGGCATCCTTAGCATCTTCTGTGTCCAGGCCGGGGCCCGGCGCGTGTACGCGGTGGAGGCCAGCGCCATCTGGCAACAGGCCCGGGAGGTGGTGCGGCTCAACCGGCTGGAGGACCGCGTACACGTCCTGCCGGGGCCGGTGGAGACGGTGGAGCTGCCCGAGCAGGTGGATGTCATCGTGAGCGAGTGGATGGGCTACGGGCTCCTGCACGAGTCCATGCTGAGCTCCGTGCTCCACGCGCGGGCCAAGTGGCTGAAGGAGGGCGGGCTTCTCCTGCCGGCTTCCGCCGAGCTCTTCGTGGCGCCTATCAGCGACCACACGCTGGAGTTGCGCCTGGGCTTCTGGAGCCAGGTGAAGCAGCTCTACGGCGTGGACATGAGCTGCCTGGAGGGCTTCGCCACACGCTGCATCATGGGCCACTCGGAAATCGTGGTGCAGGACCTGTCCGGCGAGGACGTGCTGGCCCGGCCGCAGTGCTTTGCTCAGCTGGAACTGGCCCGCGCCGGCCTGGAGCAGGAGCTGGAGACCGGCGTGGGTGGGCGCTTCCGCTTCAGCTGCTACGGCTCGGCGCCCATGCATGGCTTTGCCATCTGGTTCCAGGTGACCTTCCCCGGAGGGGACTCGGAGAAACCTCTGGTGCTGTCCACCTCGCCTTTCCACCCGGTCACGCACTGGAAGCAAGCCCTCCTGTACCTGAACGAGCCCGTGCAAGTGGAGCAAGATACGGACATTTCCGGGGAGATCACGCTGCTGCCTTCCCGGGACAACCACCGGCTCTTGCGCGTGCAGCTGCGCTACAAAGTGGGCGACCAGGAGGAGAAAACCAAAGACTTTGCCATGGAGGATGAGCGTTGCTTTTTCTCCCAGCGACCTCCCGAGGCGGCCAGACCTGCGTGCTAGAGGTGGAAGGGGGTCGCTGGAGACAGAGGGATCCGGCCTGCAAGTAGGGGGCATTAGCATCTCTCTGCCGTTTCCCTCAGGGCTCCGGGGGGGGGAGAGTCACTTCACTCTTCACTTGGAGGAGATTCTTCTGGCGACATTGATTTAAAAAGTGACCCCGATGCCCCCAATGATGGAAACAGCGTGTTTATTAATAGGCTTTTAAGCCTCAAAAGCATGTGGTACCAAGCACTTGCATTTTTGTTGTTGTTTCACGGAAGAAAGTGTCCGTTTATGAAAGTTCCATGCACACTCACCCCTGATACCTCACACCTTATCTAAGCCTGAAGCCAGGGAGGAGGGTACAAGTTTGGAGTTAGACTCCGTACATTTCCAGTACGACTTGACTATCTCTCCAAAGCCATATTCTTTGATTCTCTGAACCCCCTCCCTTCCCAGTTGCCTCTAGGCTATAGCACTGTCTTCCTCGTTTTTCAAATAAACTTTACTACTGACCATGAGAGGGATAATGAGGAAGCAGTTTAAATAACCTTACTGTTCTCATTACTCTTACTGCTTCCATAGGGTGCTGAAGTTCATTAAGTAAAATAAAGCATACATAAATGTACAGTCTGCCTAAGACATCTAGAGGATACATTTGGGAGAAAAACACCTGAAAGTGAAGTAGGTAGATTTGTTTTATTCTTGTCTTTACTATTTTAACCAAGAAAGTCATGTATGGTCCATATTACATTTTTGTGAAATTTTATGATACAGGCAGAGAGAGGGTTTCAGAATCTGACTCAAGGGCTTTTTCATCACTATGGGTAAATTATTTAAGCTCGCTAAATTAAAATATTTTCCCAGCTAGAAAGCTCGCTCATTCTCTTAAACTCCCTCATTTAGGTGGGTCATGTGACTTGGCCTACTTACATCAAGTTAAAGTTTTGTTTTTTTAGCTCAGCCAAATGTGAAAGTTGTGAATTTAGGGAAGTCATTTATAATGAAGTGTGAGTCATGTTATCAAATTTATATCACTGATGTTTCCCTCTTCATCCCTGTGGCAAATAAAACATTGGCATTCTGTCTTTATAGACGAAGTAAGAAGTCTTGTGTAGTGTCTGAGTGATAATGCTTTTGCCTTTTTAATAGGGTCAGTTCTCAAGGGAAGTGTTAAAGCTTTAGGGCGATTCAGACTGTTAGCCTTTGGATACTGATGGAAAACAGGTGCGAAAAACCAATCCTCTGAAGGACTCGAAACAGTTCTGTTTACAATGAGTTTCCTGCTCCTTGATTCAACACATATTAAAATACTTAAGTATTATAACCAGTTTGCTATAATTTGGTGAACACATGAAGACCTGCCATTATGAAGGGAAACAAATGTACAAAATCATAGACTTCACAAGATCCTTGAGTAGCTGTTACTTTTGATGTCAAGATAGCTAACAGCCAGTTTATGTTTGCAGCCATATCAGCTAGGTATGGTCTAAGCTAGAGGAATAAAATAGCTTCTTTGGGTCAGCTATATTTTATGTCAAACATTTATTTAGAATTTTAGTGTATGATTTGGAGTATATTTCTGGTGCTTTTTGGTTTTGGTTTGTTTTTTTTTTTAAGTTTTTAAATCATCCCTTTGCTGTATGGGCACATATTCCAAATTCCATTTTTTTAACATATGTTTTCTAAATATATGAGAACTCTACAGTTATTACCACTGTAGGCACACGAAAGGAACACTAGTTAAAATTTTGGATAACTAAATTAAAAGGTTTTTCATAATTAGGCAAAGTATGCTTTAAAATTCTTATTGTTGCTGTTTTCCAAAAGAAAAACCTGTTATCACAAGAATACAACTACTAAAGAATTAGCCAAGAGGCAGCATAGCGTAGTGGCTAAAAGCTTGGACACTGGAACCAGACAGCTCCAGCTGGAACCCGTGCTCCACCGCACTGTGTGACTGGGCAGAAGACTAACCTGACCTTTAGGGCTCGTGCCAGTTGGGAGTAATCATGGAAATGAAGCAACGAGTTAGCACGTGTGAGCACACAGTGCCCAGGACATAAGATCTCAGCATCTCCTAGCTGTTGTGATTGGGGAGAAGCAATAGACAATTCCGGAACAGTTGGACGCAGACAAAATGGGCTACAGAATAAATGTAAAAACATTTTGATTTTTTTTTTTACAGGTATTATTTGACAGTTTCAGTGTGGCTGTATATGACAAACAATGTGTGACACTGGACGCCAGACAATCCCAAGGAAGCCGAAGCCTTTTCACGTGAGGCCACTTCCCGGAGGATGAGAGTGTGAGAAGCATCAACCTCCAGGCACTCCAACCTCTGTATGAACGGGACTGATGGCTTAGGGCCGCGTGGGCCCCCGAAAGGAGCTGCCAGCCCCAAGGAGAGACTCTGGCTGAAGTTCAGCCTGCTTTCCTTGAGTAGCATATGTTTATTCTGCACTGTGAAACTTTAATTCACTGGACCAATGGACATTTTACTGAGTGTACACTGTATCAGTCACTGTGATAAGCACTTAGGATACAAGCCCATGAAACATAGTTCCTGCCGTCAAATAGGTTTGTTCAGAGGATAAACCAGGGAGTAAAATAAATGAACAATAATGTGATAAATACTGGAATGGCATAGGTTGTCAGGGAGGGTGGGTATTATCTTCACATTACATACTGTATGTGAAAAAGTCACACACACGCTGAGTTAGGCTCTGGTTACACAGCTAGTTCTTGACAACCCAAACAAAATCTTTAATCCTTGAGTGCTATAATTTCTTTAAAAAAAAAAAAAGTACATACCTCTGGAATGGCCTTTTTATCTTGTCACAAATGAAGGGGGAAAGGTCCTTAGTTAAAACAAGTCGCATTAGAGGTCAATCACATAGACCTCAAAGACCCACCTTCCGCCTACAGTCTCCCAAGAGTGACAGATCATAAGCACTCGCTGAACCAGCCACTCCACCTACTTCCCAAACAGAGCTCATGAAATGTGGCCCTTTCTAAGGCCCTCAGGAAACTGAATCCTCAACGCGGGCAAAGGTCGGTGAGCCCTGCCTTGCTGGCTGTGCCTGTGTGGTGCTGGAGAGCAGAGCCTTCCCGGGGGGTGTTCATTCAGTGAATTGCTTACTACGCACCAACTAACAGTTAAGTTCTATGATACATAAGCAAATCCTAACTTCAAAGACCTGGGATGCAGTAAGGGAATAAAACTACCTATATCCATAATTTGCTTATATTCTTTAGCTTGGAAAGGCCTCATTCCCACTAAATGTTACCTCTGCTGAAGCAGGGTTGAGGAGCCAGCCCTCACAAAAATTCCATCCTTAAAACTTCTCCCAGGTGCAAAACAACATTACCTATCATTACATGGATTGTGAGATCCCAGGGAGGAATTTCTCTATGGCGTTAGTTCCAAAAACAAATCTATGTCCTCTGAATAACCGGTTTATTTCTGCTAATGGAGACAGTATATTGGGTACATCGTTCTTCCCACTTTGGCTATTAGCGGAGCCAATTTATGACTCACTTGTGCTCTTTTTTAGCTTTCTATCTGGCTCCATTGCCATACCCCATTTTTCCCTTGATTTATTATCCCTCTCACAATAAATATTGCATGTTTGTTGAAATTTATGTATCTTTGTTCTAATACTTTTTGGCATTAAAGTATGTTCCTACTTTCTGGGATACTTGCAGAAGTTCTGAGGGCAAAGAGGTTAGAGAAAGTGCTAGAGGATTCTGAGGTCTGCCCCTTCATTTCCCATGAAATTGGGTGTCCCGGGAATCGTTCATATGAATGGGTAGCTGGATCCCATCCTTCCAGCCAGCCTACAGGATTTTACACTTTGTAGAATCAAGATTTCTGAATGGGTAAGAAAATATGAGCCATGGAGGCAAACTCGAGGGAACTTCGAATGTTCTGCAGCTCTTTCTCAGCCTAGAAGAGGCCCCGACTGAATCTGAAACACAACAGTAAGGACGATGAAAGACTGCAAATCTGTTCCAACAGTGTGTCACAGCAGATTAAAGTGATGATGAGGAGGAAGACAGTACAAGGAGACTATTTCTCAAGCTATTGTACATGCTTGTAGGAAAAGATGTTTGAAACGAAGAATCCTGGACCTAAAGAAACACAAAGATAATTTTAATCACAACTAGGACATGACCTCTGTACACAGACTCTTCCTTCTATTCTTTCCCCAGGTGATCTCACCCAGTCCCATTACTTTAAATCGTGTACCGTCTATATGCTATTGTGTACCATCTATATGCTAATGATCCCTGAAGCCGTGACACCCACAGATGACTTCCATCAGACCTTGCCCACTGGTGACTGTTCACTGACTGGTGTTGCCTGAGAGCGCTAGTTCTGGTTTGGGTATATCAACGAGCACAGGACTCGGTCTCTGGCCTGAAGAAGCTGAGTCTTACGTGGAAAGTAAGCACCTCAGCTTTCCAAAGATAACCGGTATTGTAATGCAACATGCGTTCAAGTGCCAAATGAATCACACAGACAAGTGCTCTTAGGAGTTCGATCATTGCCGCATGGAGGAATCAGAGCTTCTCTTTGCAAGTGGAGGAGTGGGACTGGATCTTGCTAATTCCCAGTCGTGCCAAGATCCGACCTTAGGTGCTCTCCACCTGGAACAGTCTTTCCTGAGACTGCACGTTACATGTTCTCCTTTCAGATCTCTGTTCAAATGTCACCTCAGCATCCCTTGCTTGACTCCCATGATACACACCTTAGACACGATTTTTCCCTTGTCACCTGAAGTTCAGCTGTTTACCGCTTTGCCTTTCTTTCAGTATGAGATGATGAGAGCAGGAAACTTGCTTCTTGTTCGCCATTGTCTACTCATTGCCTAAAACATCTAACACAAAGTGGGTAGTCATGTTTGGTGAGCAAATGAGCCTTGTATGCCAAATGGAACTTATATATATAAGAGGGCAGAGTAGCCATTCTAGGCAAGGACAATGGCTTAAAAACAAGTGCTACTTAGTTCTTTTCCACTGTGGTTTAGTAGATGGCTCCTTGCCCTCTGTCTGGAAATTTCAGTAACACCTGGGGTACTGATAGGGTCACTGGTGGACAGTGCACATGCTTGGGCTTGCGACCGGCGTTCTAATCCCCAGTCAGCTTGCAGCCCGTGAGTCTTCTCCTGGATCTATCCGTTTCCCCTGAGCACACAGAACACAGCTTCCCAAAGAGGGCTCAGTTGAATCTCTAGAAATAAACTTTTGCAAGGCCTAAGACAGATAAAAGCATTGATAAGGCTCAAAATGATTGGCTTAATTTTCAGGATTTCCATGCGCAAAAGAGGAAGAGTAAAACTTATGACAACGGATGAAGCTAAAACCAAGGTTTGATTTATTAAGGTCAATGAAAACTGTTTTCCAAAACTGTATTTGGACAACCTTTTACGTAGATATCAACCCGTCTACTGTGTGACAAGTGGATGTCTGCAAGTCTCCTTTTTCTCCATCAGACCGAAGTGACAAGACCCCATCAAACTGTCAAAAAGCCACTGAGGAGAGCGCGAACCCGCATGCTCTCCCGCCGGTGCCAGGAGGTCACGCTGGCGGAGTCCACACGAGGTTGGCATGTCTGGGTGGCTTCCATCTCGGTAGGACGCAGTTTCTTCTCACTGAATTAGTGCCCCCAATGGCCCCAGCTCGCCAAAGACACGCTTTATGAGGGGCTGCAGAGAGGGCAGCCACCGTGGAGTGAGGCCACATGGACCTATTGACAACTTCACTGCAAATATTTTGCAAAACAATTCATGTATTGTTACAGTATTTTTTTCATTAAGAAAGTAGTGCGTACTGATTACAGCAAGTTTCAAATGACAGAAAAGTAGGAAAAAAGATAAATCACCCGTAGATTCACCCCTGAAGTATTTTCTATCTCAACTTTTATGTATGCTTGTTTTGGGACTTTATAAAAATTATATCGTGTTGTCTTCTACAATCTTACTTAATTATAACACCACCATGTTTTATTTCCTAAACAGCACCTATTACCACCTGAATTTATTTCATTCATTTCTTTGCTTCTGTATTGACTCTCTCCAAATAAAATTTATATATTATAAAAAGCAGAATCCTTTTCTCTCTGATGCACTCAAGAAATTAGTTAATTAATAAATAAATGTTAAATTAAGAACCATGTACATATATTACCTTACATATTGGTCTTTTCATATCTTTAGGATAGATATCCCTAAATATTTTGCTTACTTTAAATTTTAATAAATTCCAATAGATTGCCTTCTGGAAGGTTGTCAAAATATATCTCCCCAAAAAAGATATATGAGAAAGCCTGTTTCCTGATATTCTCACTCACCTAGAGTTTTAAAATCTTATTTTTAAAAATCTTATGGATAAAAAAAGAATACTAGCTTCTTATTTTACATTTTATTACCCTAATTCCTAGTGGTTGAACATCTTTCCATATATTTATTGGCTCTTTGCATTTCATTTTCTGTGAACTTACTGTTTATTTTATACATTTCTCTATTAGATTTTGTGGCTCTTGGTGGGGGGCTCTCTGGCAATTAGGAGTAGTCTATCATGTACTATAATATGTTCATTTAATCTTTTTCCCTTTATTAAGTTTGGGTCATTGAGGCTTTTCCATTTTAATAATACAAATCTAGTTATTCTGTTTGTAACTGCTTCTGAGTTTGTTTTCTGATTGAGCAGGCTTTTCCTAATTGAAAGTTGGGAAAATACTCCCAAATTATCTTTTTTTCTTTATTAAATTTTTAAACTTAGGTATTTAATCCCTATGTAATTTGTGTTTTGTTCTGTTTCTTACAATTTGAGGTAAAGACTCTTTTGTTATCAGTGTAAAAGCATAGACTTAGTACCATCAGATGACACTTTCAACAGAAGCTGGTGTCTGCGGACTTGGCTGCGTGGCTTCTCTGCTGATCTCGGCTGGAATGACACATGGCTGTGACCAGATCATAGGTCAAAGGTGGCTGGACAAGCCCATCACATGTAGTATTGGATTGTTTTTATTCTATACACTGTCTGTGTTTCCCCCTATTCCTCATAAGGGAGGAGAGTGTTTCAGTTCCTTAAGGTAGAATCTTTGGCTGAACTGATTTTACAAAAAGCCTTAGATGAACTTGGCATCCACATGTGAGAAAATTCTGTTACTAAAAAGAAATCAAAACACTGTATTAAAAATAGAAAATGGTATATAGTATATGTAGTATTTATTTATTTACTTATTGGGGCGACATTGGTTAATAAGATCATGTAAATTTCAAGTGTACATTTCTATGATCCTTGGTAAACTTTTAATTGAACAATAACTTTAAAACTAAGCTCTGGCTAGCAAAATAATAAAATTGAACATGTTATTTTTACTCAAAAAAAACTTCAACCAATTTACAAGTTTTTTGGAAAGAAGTTTATTTAAAACTGCAATGCATATGCCAACTTTGGCCATAATGTGTGTTAAAATTTTTTCAGTATAATGTTTGTGGCTCAGCCATATCCGGTCTACACATATGAAATGTGACATTATTATAAACTATAATTACTTTCAGAAACTTTAAAATAAAAAGTGTTTAATTAAACATTTGTCTCAGGATATATTA